AATTTCGTTTTTTATAAAATATGACTAGGTAAGAATGTTACTCATACGCCATGTATGTATGTATGTACTATTAATGAAATCATAGGCACAACTATTTGTGTGGAGACTCTTCGTATATGCCGCATTTTCATTTGACCGTTTGCAACCTTATTTATCAATCAAGTCAATTATTTGGGAATCCATCTTGATCTCAGGTTTTCGTGGAAATTGCATATTAAAGCGAAAAAAAGTCAACTTGCATTAAAAACATTAAGAATGTACTGGCTGCTTGCTGCAAAATCTGAGCTGAGTTTAGAAAANAGTCAACTTGCATTAAAAACATTAAGAATGTACTGGCTGCTTGCTGCAAAATCTGAGCTGAGTTTAGAAAACAAAATCCTTCTGCACAAAGTTATGCTGAAAACGGTTTGGACATACGCTATGCAACTATGGGGTACTGCGAGTAACTCAAACAGAAATACTACAGCGGTATCAAAATAAGGCCCTAAGAAGTATTGTTAATGCTCCTTGGTATGTCACCAACTATGCCACTCACCAAGACCTCAAAATTCCATTTGTCAGGGAAGAAATCATCAAATTGACTCAGTGATAAAACGATCTTTTTTTTGTTGTTACTATCATAACAAGTTTTAATAATTATGTATATAAAATAATTACATTATCATTACAACAAATTTTTATTTTGATGCAATAAGACTAGCAAGTTAACCGAATCGGGGGCCAAACACGATCTTTTCGCCGTTACAATATTTCCTGCCGTAGAGAAGAGTCTTTCGTGTTCGGAGGAAAAGTTGTTTCAGTGAGATCCACGGATGTTAATTCTAAGCCAGAGGAAAGCTGGACCATTTCAACTTCCAGAAAAAAAAAAATAAAAAATAAAGTTCGTGTCTTAAGTCTTTCGTTAACTTTATTTGCATACATAATTATCTTTCAGTTCTTTTTTGATTAACATTAAAATTCAAACATTTCAAAGTATTGGAACGCTATGAGATAGTTCAGAGAAGATTTGTTCCTTTTTCGTTCTCTGTAACAAAGTTCCTGGGACTTTAGCTCCCAAATTGTTCTTCGAGAGTAAGTTCCTCAGAATTTTGTTCCCGTTTCGAAAAAAAAATAGGGGTAAAACCACCCCTGCTTACCATATAGCGGTAGTTTTCGGAAAGGTGAAAAAAAAATATATTTAATACTTGCGCCGGGTATCTAATGTTCGGCTCCGCCCGAACTTAGACTTTCTTACCTGTTAATATATGTAAATTGCTGTTAGCACCATGTCAAGGTCAAAAATTTACTTCCGGTAGATGGAACGTAGATAGCTTATTGCCTGGATTAACATATAGGGTACTTTTCCGGTAGGTGGGCCAGGGACTGATCCATTCGAAGAAATCGTATATGATATATTATGGTCAACTTTTATGTTGAAACTTACTATATTATACCAGTCTTTTCATAATAAATATGAGTGCGAATATATTTTTTAGATCTTAGATCGGAACCACTTCTAAACTAGTGCTTAACTGTTCCCAAGCTAGTCTTTAACTGGTTCCAAACTAGTTCCGAATAGGCCCCAAACTATCCCCGAACTGTTCCCCAATTAGTTCCTAACTGGTACCCAACTACTCTTGAAGTGGTCCCTAGCTAACCGAACTAATCCCGAAATGGTCTTGAATTTTGTAACTTTAACAAATAATAATGCCGGTGTCATACATTTACAGTTTTAAAGTTTTTATTCATCACCAAACATTAACCTATATACCGCCTGGCGCTTGAATTCTGCTTCATTGGTTGTTTGGTTGTCGGTGTTGGTGTTGCTGATTTCGTCTCCGTCTTCTTCGAGCGAGTTGCTTAGATATTCATCAGGGTTAGTGGATGATAAAATACATGCAGATACATTTTTATATCTCGGAAAAAGTATTAAAACTGTAGTTCCGCAGATTTCACTAAAATGTTTGTATTTGTTTGAAAAATATATATATACGCAAATGCTGTTAGTAAAGCAAAATATTGATTTAAGCCAAATAATGTTACCCTACCTATACTCTGAATTTCAGCCCCCAGAGCCGCGTTCCGTTATCGAAAAGTGTTACCGAAATCATGGCTCCAAAAAGTGCAGCGTGGAGAGATTTCCAAAGATTAAACGATAGAAAAGCGAAATGCAAAACTTGCCAGAAAATTGCTGCGTACTCTGGAGGGACAACTAATTTGTCTGTACACTTGAAAAATTATCATTCCACAGAAAACAAGACGGTAAGTTACCAGAGTATAAATAACAGTGAATATGTTGTTAGGAGTAAATACAAATAAATATATTTTTATAAACAAACCCACCATACAAAACATGAGAAATAGGCAACAATCATCAATGGCAACAAATTGGCGACTCGACGATTTATTGCCGTCCTGACAAATCGGCAACATTTGATTCTTGTTGTCATTCAAATACTGAATTATTACCAATTTGTCGCTGTGATAATAATTCGGTAACATTTGTTTGTTTGTTGCTGTTAGTTGATCACCAACAGCTAATTTTTTTCCGTTTATTTCAAAGCAAGCAGTGGAAATAAAGTAAAAACTATTCAAATTAATTAATTTGGGATCATTAATAATAAAAAAAATATATATATATATTTAACTTTAAAGGGGGAAAATATAGAGGTAAGTGATTAATTTATTTCCTTTTTAAGTAATGGAATTACATCCGCTTGGGCAGATTTGTTATAATACCAAGAATAAAGTAATGATGATGAGTTCAGGTGCAGTGCGAAAAAAGAGCAAGAGAGAATCTGCCAAAGTAATACAACAAATATATGATTTGGAATATATGGAGCCAGAAGATTCCCAAAAGAAAGAGCCATGCATTGTTGAAAACATAAATTCTGACCCATCTAATGACAATGATTTATTTATTGAGAATGATAGCAACATTGAGTATTTTTATGCAAGTAGTGATGAAGATGAAAGAGGTCCAAACGACATTCCATTGGACCAAAAGCTAACTTTTCAGGGGAAATTAAAAAAGTGGGCCATACTTAATTTAGTACCTAATTCATCTATTAATGGATTGTTGGCGATCTTACGCGAAATTATTTTAGATATTCCGAGAGACTCGAGGACTTTAAAGGGAACACCCAGCGATGCAGTAGTTATAAATATGGGAAAAGGAAAATATATACATTATGGCCTAAAAGATGCATTGACTGACTTTTTATGTTGTTATGATTTTCAAAAAAACACGATATTTTTAAACTTTAATATAGACGCTTTACCGCTCTTTAAAAGTTCTAAAAAACAATTATGGCCGATTTTATGCAACGTAGTCGACAGTAAAGAAATTCTTTTAGTTGGTGCCTATGAAGGGAACTCAAAACCCGAAAATGCATCTGAATTCATAACACCTTTCATTGAGGAATTGCAAACTCTATTAAAAGAAGGAATACATTTTAAAAATACAGTTTTTGCAATAAATGTGCGATGCTTCATTATGGATGCGCCAGCAAGGTCTTTCATATTAGGAGTCAAGGGACATACTGGGTATTATTCATGTGTATGCTGTACACAAAAAGGTGAAATGGTAAAGCATCGACTAGTTTTCCCACTCCATGAAAATCTGCAATTGAGGACCAAGAAAACTTTCAGAGACAGAAGTAACCCGGATCATCACAAAAATATGTCTCCTTCGCCTTTAGATGTAGACATGATCCACCAGTTTCCATTGGATTACATGCATGTGGTTTGCCTAGGGGTGACTAAAACGTTGCTTAGTGGTTGGATTAAAACAAGAGGAGAAGAATATTCGCTACCTTCGTGGAACATAAGAAAACTTTGCGAAGCTTTGGTCGCCAACCGTCCCTGTATACCAAAAGAGTTTTGCAGAAAACCTCGTAGTTTGGATGACTTGGACAGATGGAAAGCTACCGAATACAGGCAATTTCTCCTTTATACTGGACCCTTTATTTTAAGAAACATTTTGACCCATGCAAGATATGTACATTTTCTTAAGTTGTCATTGGCTATGCGAATTTTGTTGGGATCCAGAGACTGCCAAGAAAACTTAAGTTGCGCACAAACTCTTTTAAAGTCGTTTGTTGAAGACGTCCCTAAGCTTTACCATTTGTCATTCTTAACATTCAATTTTCATTGCCTTCTGCATTTGCACCAAATGCTCGAAGTTTTGGATCACTGGAAAAAATAAATGCATTCAAATTTGAAAATCATCTTCAGAAGATAAAAAAATTCATCAAAATAGGAAGTGATGTAGCTGTTCAATTGTACAACAGACAGGTCGAGACGAGTTCAATAAGTGAAGGAACAATGCAAGAAGGAGCAACAGATGGTGTCGGTAGTGTATTCAAGTTTTTAACAACAAAGCCTGACAACTTCTGTTTGGTCAATGATACAATAACCCTTTTAATTGCAATGTACAATGCGGATGGAGTAGAATATTGTCATGGGCGTCCAATAACGAATTTAGAAAGTTACTTTGACCAACCGATTTCATCATCACTCTTTAAAATTTTTTCCTGCACAGCAATGAATTTTGCGGAAGTAATATCATTTCGATCTAATAGCATTACAAGCAAAATTATTTGTTTGCATGAAAATATTATTTTCTTTTTTTGTACCATTTATTAACTAAGCAATGGAGAATGAAATTATTTACGCAACCCATGCTGAAGGTAAGATGGCGATGATAAGTGGTATAAAACTGGTAATCACGGTTCGAAATAGCGCCAGAGCCTTAATTTGTCAGCCGATTTCATTCAAAATTAAAATCTATCCGATTCGCTTAAAACGTTTTCTTCTGGGGCTTTTTCGGGCGGCTGATTAAGAATCTGAAGTCAGATAGGAAAAATTCAAATGGACCCAATATGGCAACGAAAAAATTAAAGTCGATATTGGATCTACCATTTATCATGGAAAAAGTTAAAATCGAACGTACGTACATGGCGTAATATTGTTACTAACATGTTACTCATACGCAATGTATGTATGTTCGATTTCTACTTTTTCCATGAAAAATGGTAGATCCAATATGGTTTTGCCATTTTGAACTTTTAAAATCTGATCTCAGATTCGTAAGCTGTAGTTTTATTTTGAAAATTAAACTCCACTTTTAGACCAATGTTTGATGGTAGCAATATTTTTACATACATTGTAAAACAGATTGATTGTTTTCTTCAGACCCAGATGCATCAAACGAATTGGAAGCTCAGCAGCCAGTGTTTGTTTACACTACGTTGGAAGCAGCGCCAGTCCAAAGTAATTACAAAATTAAATATACCATACATCTATACCAGATTTCGTAATTTAATTTTTTCTCTAGAATCCTTTTCAGAGCAAGGCTCAATTAATTTAATATTATCCGAAGTTAAATCCATAAGAAGAGTTATTACCCATTTATCTGAAGAGGTTGTGTCTTTAAGAAATGAGGTTCGTCAAATGAAGAACACCCAGCCCGGCACTTCAGAATCTTCGCATCTTCCTGTTATGCCTTTTAATGAGAAAGACGCCTTTGACAATTTTATGAAAGAACTAGTGGATAAGGAACCGATCTTAAATGAATTTGTAAGTAAAAAACGCATATTATGCGTGTTTTTTTTTGGAAAGTGGTATACATAAGTCCATTTTTTCATATGTTGAGATATTTTGGGCTTTGTATCTGAATTGATTTAAAAATATTGGCAAAAAATTAACCAATGCCTGTTAAATTTAATTATGCAATAATAATTATTGAAATTGTTAAAGAAAATAAAAGATTTTTTAGCTCCGAATGGACTTATGCCACTGAAATTGAATAATCTAGTTTATTAAGAAATAGTTTCAATAATTTTAAGTCCTTTTTTTTTGTAAGTATAAGTCCACTTTTGGAAAAAAATAGTTAATGGAATAACAACTTCCCATTGCATTTCAAGTGACGATGTGCAGTATAGCTAAGTTTCTTCCGATTACTTTATCAAGAAATCGTGCTTCGATAAATGTATGATTACAAACATAAAAAGAGGGTTTCTGTATCTTACTTAAATTACCATTAACTATTTTTTTCCAAAATTGGACTTATGCAACTTTCAAAAAAAGGCTCATATGCATATGTATGTGTGGTCTAAATTATTTTTTTACAGAAAATATATTTATTACGCCTTGGTGGACCCGATGTTGCCACTTTTCTACGATCTGCCATGAAGGCTATATTAACGTACAACTTGGCACAAAAATTCTCATGGAAGGGTACAAAGGAGAAACCGGCGCTCACTGCTAATTTCGCGGTGACAGTCATAAAAGGTATATGAAGTCTAGTAGCCCAGATCATTCAGTCCTTAATCATTTCTTTCATGTCATTTTAGGAATATGTTACAAAAAATTCCCAAACTCTGACGACTTTTACATACAGTATTATCCAGAAGCATCTGATTCATGCCAAGAACAGGATTGAAAAGAATAGGAAGCGCCATAGCGTAATAAATAATTAATTTCGTTATAAATTGTAATTTTCTATCAAAAAAACTAATAAAATACTAAAAATTAAATTTTTGCAAGTAATTATTCCCCAGATATCGCCTCGAAGATAATTTAGCAAGTCGCCTGTAGTAATAATAAGCGATATGAAAGCGACTCATTCAGGTAATAAGAAAACGACTCGACCAGGCGCGTTGCCTTCGGCGGACGTTTTAGAGCGACTGCCCATAAGAAATCGATACAATGGCGATATTGCCGGCGATAAATTTGTTGCCGGTGGCGACTCGTTTTCTTATTGCCAACAACAAAACTTGGTTGGTGGGAAACGAAAGGAAAGCGACTCATTCGGGTAATAAGAATGCGACTCGATTAGGCGAGCTGCCTTCGGCGGACGTTTTAGAGCGACTGGGAATAGGAAATCGATACGATGGTAATATTACCGGCAATAAATTTGTTTCCGAGGGCGAGACGTTTTCTTATTGCCGGCAACAAAAATTGTTTGGTGGGAAGGTAATTGACATCAGCTCGCCTGAAACAATCGCAGCAATTGAGTTTCGAATCGCAATACAGAGTATACTCCCTAGACTTGCTTGTGAGGAGGGGAAAATAAAAGTTGTTGAACTCTGGTTACTATTTTTAAAAATTATTAAAGTGTATCTTATCCACAGAAACTTCATGATATAAATTTATGCTTATTCGTGTTTTTTTGGTAGTTTTACGCATATGTATTTGGCGTTTGTAAATTAAAAAAAAAAACAACGAAACGAAAACGAAATATACGCAAAACTACCAACGAAAGAAGCAACGGGTACGGTGTGAATCGATATTGCCGATATTCAATATATCGATATTATTTTAGTAGATATATCGGTATCGAATATCGTCAATTTGGAATATCGCGATACCGATATATCAAATTTTCATTGCGTGGATTTAAAATTAATATTCTTGTCATTCCTTGTGCATATTTTCCTCTTTTGGTGCATTATTAGGGGTATTCTCTGAGTCTTGCAAAGCCCTTGCACGGTGCACGGCTTGCACGGTTTGCAAAGCTGTCCCATACCGGTTTTTACCGCGCAATATGTGCACCATGCAAGGCCTTTGCAAGACTCAGAGAATACCCCTATTGTTGTTTTGCGTGAGAGTGCATTTTCCCATCTTCCGCGATTTATCATACATTTTGCTTATCATCGATTAAATAATCTTCCTGCAAACAGCTGATTTTGGCTTTCTTTTATGCTTTGAAGCTTTTTGGCTCAGTGGCTTTAAAACTGATAAGTTCAGCACGGTTTCTAACCATTGACCTTACAATACCTAGACTTCTGTGTCTCTCAAACGCTCATCTTTGCTACTATCATACTAAAAGCGTACACTGTGAGCTTTTCCTGTACATACATATTGTTACTACTTCGCGCTGCAATGTATTCATCCTGCTGTTTTGAAAAATGTAACATTAAAAACGACTTAGGCTATCTGCACACTGTCGTCCAATCATAGTTGCGTTATCGTCTCGCCCTGAAATTTTGAGCCGAGCACATGCATTTCAAAGGAGATCTGCACACTTGTCGTTATCGGCTAGTTATCGGCAAATCGTAGAAGATGCAGAAACGGATANACGAAATATACGCAAAACTACCAACGAAAGAAGCAACGGGTACGGTGTGAATCGATATTGCCGATATTCAATATATCGATATTATTTTAGTAGATATATCGGTATCGAATATCGTCAATTTGGAATATCGCGATACCGATATATCAAATTTTCATTGCGTGGATTTAAAATTAATATTCTTGTCATTCCTTGTGCATATTTTCCTCTTTTGGTGCATTATTAGGGGTATTCTCTGAGTCTTGCAAAGCCCTTGCACGGTGCACGGCTTGCACGGTTTGCAAAGCTGTCCCATACCGGTTTTTACCGCGCAATATGTGCACCATGCAAGGCCTTTGCAAGACTCAGAGAATACCCCTATTGTTGTTTTGCGTGAGAGTGCATTTTCCCATCTTCCGCGATTTATCATACATTTTGCTTATCATCGATTAAATAATCTTCCTGCAAACAGCTGATTTTGGCTTTCTTTTATGCTTTGAAGCTTTTTGGCTCAGTGGCTTTAAAACTGATAAGTTCAGCACGGTTTCTAACCATTGACCTTACAATACCTAGACTTCTGTGTCTCTCAAACGCTCATCTTTGCTACTATCATACTAAAAGCGTACACTGTGAGCTTTTCCTGTACATACATATTGTTACTACTTCGCGCTGCAATGTATTCATCCTGCTGTTTTGAAAAATGTAACATTAAAAACGACTTAGGCTATCTGCACACTGTCGTCCAATCATAGTTGCGTTATCGTCTCGCCCTGAAATTTTGAGCCGAGCACATGCATTTCAAAGGAGATCTGCACACTTGTCGTTATCGGCTAGTTATCGGCAAATCGTAGAAGATGCAGAAACGGATAGGTACGGCACTGTCGTTTGCTAATCGTTGTGCATGCATTGTTTGTTTACATTTTATGGGGAAAAATTAGTGAAAAAGTGAATACTTGCATAAAAATTAGTATTTTTGCTTAAAATCTGTGGAAATTATTAAAAAGTGGATAATTGCATTAAAATTCAATAAATGTGAGCGTTTAACCTATGCAATAAAACGAAATAATAAAAAGTCTCTGTGTGCATGCACAAAACACATTTCAGGAAAAGAAAAGAAGAGATATTATTGAAAAATGATGTCTAGATTTGTTGCAGCACAGTCTATATTTTAAAAATTACAGGTTTTTGTAAATATTTCGCGAAAATATCAACCAGAAAAACAGGAAATACCAGCTCCAAGTGAATTTTTAGACGCCAAATGAATTGAAATTTCACGACCGAGTGTGCGAAAGTGTAGTCGTCATGTAATCGTTGCATCATGATTGTGACGATGAAGCAACTATGATTGGACGACCAATGTGCAGAAAGCCTTAGAGCGTTGCGTTGCGTGATGGTTGTGTGATGACTTAGCTCACGTAAAATGTGCTGGTCTCAATGGTAGGGTGGCCGATATCATAACCGATAACAAAGGTGTTCGTTGGTCTTGCCCCAAGTGCAGATCAACCGAAGTTGAGCTTTGTAAAATGTTTAGGAGCGCCAGAAGTGGCTTCCAGGAGTTGGGTAAGTTAAAACTTCTAAACGAAAAGTTTAAGCGACATGAAGATGCATTTAAAGACTTTAAGTGCATTGAATCTTCATCGTCTCCATCACCCAAGCTTCAACAAGCTTCAAAAAAGCGGTAGCATGGAGGAGACAGCATTGTTCCTAATCCCATTGCTTTAGACATTGACACTCCGCCAACTGATTCTAAGTAAGTATATTTTTAGTTTAACACAAAATTTTGTTTTATTTTTCGTAATAAAAAACACATTAATAAGTTAATATTACTTACTAATATTCGCCCAGTGGTTGAAATTCAACCATTACAACGGTCAACATTCTTTTACCTTACAAAACTAATGAATGAGGTGAGGTGGGGTGAGTTAAAATGAGTGAGTTTAAGATAACATATCTTAGAGCTAGTTTTTCCGTACCAGTTTAAACTTAGATCAGCTGGCTGAAATTTGATTGGCTAATCTTGGTTGAAACTAAGCTAACTCCAGCGTATAGCACTGAAAAACTGGCCTTTAATTTTTGAATTTATCCCTTTCTCTATATTTACCTTTATCTTTATCTTCATCTTCATGTTCATCTTCATCTTCATATTAATCGTTACCTTTTTCTGTAAATGCTTATGTTCATCATTATCTTTATCAGTATATGTATCCTTATGTTTATGTTTCTGTTTATTTTTATCTTTATTTGTATATTTTTATTTATTTTGTTCGTTATCTTGATCTGTATCTATATCGTCATGTTTATCTTAATTTTTTTCTTTAACTTTACCGTTATATTTATCTTAATTCCCATCTTAATCCTTATCTTCATTCACATTCATCTTTATCCTTATATTAAGCATTCAAATTTTTTTTATCTTTGTCTTTATCTTTACGTATCTTTATTTTAAGTTTTATGTTTTATGTTAAGTTTGAGGTTTGAGTTCAATTTTTTTTTGTTGCAGTTTGTACAAAACTCAAAGTCTAAAATACTTTTGGTATGGGAATATCGCAAGTTAGAAAGCGTTTTATATGGGACTGTTGCAAACGTGTACCGAGATATAAAAGTAAATAAAAACAATTAAAATGGTAAGTATATGTACATATGTATATAGAAAGAGATAAACGTGTAGAGAGAATCGGTTTTTATTTGAAATATTGTATTTATGTTCGTCAATATAATGAATTTTAACCCATCACCGGGCAAATAGTGACGTAATGTTAAGTGTTTTGTCAGTATTTTATTGTTGGAGTGCATGGAGAAATATCAATTTTCCATGTAAAGATATTGTGTTTCGATCAATGGATGAAGCATAAGAATGTAATAGATCATTACACTACTGGCCGTCACAGGCCGCACTTCTATGGAGTTTATATGCAAAATGCATTACTATTAATGGCTATTTCATGTGAAATCAGTTAAATAATCACTAGGTATGTATGTACACGTAATTATTTTTGAGTAATGCACAAATACGCTATTGAAAATGTGTGAACATGGTTATTTTGTAATCTGTTGTAAGTGGGAACGGATTTGTATTTAGTATGTATGTATTGACTATTATTTTGTGGATATTTTTTTTGTGTTTTATTAAAACAGAGTTATCGCTTTAATACACTGTTTATTTAAATCACTGTTTTAAATAGATTCTTATATGGTGGAAGTAGGCTGGGAGCTACTTAACAGCAGCTGCCTTGCCTATCTGGTTAAGCTTATTTATTGTTTAGCGCAGATATTTGACACGAACTACAAAAAAAAACTGACTACTGTCTAGAGTTTGTTTAGGTTTGTATAAACAAGCAGAGTAGGAAATTAATCACCGGCTGGATTTAAAATTATTGTAAAAACTTAAA